CTAAAGTGTCATGTACTCACAGATTGCTCAAAGCTTTCCTTCTTTTCCAGCATCTCTCTGAGCGTCTCCAGGATCTTCAGACACAATTTATCCTCTTTGTCCATCAGCTTCTTGGTGTGTTTGATTAGTCTGGAAGAGTGATAAGAGTTGCTGCGTCATTTTGGTTTCTGGTTAACGCACTCGCTTGCTCACAAAACAAGGCCACGCTTTAATGATCACCGCAGGTGAAATCTCCCTCTCTGTTCCCAGAGGGTGTCATAGAGAAGAAATAGTGAGAGCACCCTCAGAGGTTTGATGATGTGTCTGAGTATTTTTTACAAAATGTATTTGTCAATTCATGCAGACCACTGCCATAAATACTGACTTTTTTGCTTCCATGCTCTCATTCGTTTCATTTAAAGCTGAATGTGGCTCTATGCAATGTCGTTCATTTATCATTTAGAGTGTATTTTGCAAGTTTATTCTTTTTTTACTTTTCCAGCATCTACACAGCTGATAAAAAGATGAAAAAAAAATTGTCAAAAACTGCACATAACTCCAAATACTAACTTAATCATGCTGCTAGTTTTCCCAATCGTCAGACAAACACTTTAAAATGTGGCCTGCGGGCTGTCTTTGTTCTAAGGACAGTTTATAGAGAGCTGCTTACTTGGACATAAAAGCTCCACCCTCACAGCGTAAACGAGCAGGCTCTGGAAACAGCAGTTCTGGGCTGTGCAGAACATCCACCAGCACAGAAAACTCTGCCTGAACCTTTGGACTGAACTGCTCCTCCAGATGGGACACAACTCCCTGCACAACACAACAGACGCATTAAAAATGCTGCAGCAGAGACTGTAGTGCTGATGAGCATGCATGTTCATACATTACGTAATTTCAAGGGATGGCAATGTCAGTTTGTCAGGCCACTACTGTGACTATTGAAACTTTCTATATACCCAGAGGATAAATTCTTAGCACAGTCGTCAGATCAAAATGTTCATTTGCCTAATATTCCTTCTTGAGCATGTTGCACATTATCATAGACTCAAAGCACTGCAGTGTCAGAGCTGCTAGCATAGATGTAGACTCCCAGTGTTAGAATAAAGGTTCACCTGCAGCTTCTCTATGATGTTCTTATAGTCAGGCCCACCCAGTGGCTCCTTGCGAGGTCGTGTACGTGCAGAGATCCTCCAATCTTTAGCTGCCCGCTGCACCATATTACTATGGAACTTGAGAGACAAAGTGTTGACCTGGCTGTCCAGATCAACAGGGATGGCTATGGACCGTGCCTTAGCTGAAGGAAGAACACGTAGAACATGTAGGAGATGTCATCGTGAGCTTAACTTTACAGTCATGCGAAAAGGGAGGCTTTCACAGGATTCTATGCAGCCCTATGGAAAACTAAGCACACACCAAGTACTGCTTGCAAACTTTAATGGAGTGAAGCAACACTGTAAAATTCTTCCACAATGATGTCAGAGATTGTTAAAGTCATACAGAAACTAGTTACTTCAAGGTATAGCTGCTAAAAGCGGCTCCTCAAGCTACTGAGTCACAGGGTGTATTTAGTTTTTTATAAGACTGCGTGGAGGTGTTGTGAAAGATCTCTTTTTCAAATATGTTTCAACCTCAAATGCAACCAAAGCCTAACTTTGGCTGATCCAGCAAAGGACAATGGAACTGTGCTGCACACGATTATGTCATATAATAAGTAAAATAAAGCACAATTGAAAAGCAACATTACAGCAATAAATATTGGTAAAAATTCACATCAGCATATGCACTGTAAGATATGGATTGAAACTTTTTAAATATACAGTGAATGTGAAGTAATGAAACCATCTCCTATCGAGGCTGAACTCACCCACATCGGACAGCGTTTTGATACAACTCTCAATATTAGCCTTCTGAGCTGAGCTGAGCCATGTGCAGTTGTAAATCCGGAAGGCTGACTGGAGGAGCTTGATGAAGATAGACTGGTTTGTCTATAT